GGACCTAGAGTAGGCTTTCTCAACCTTTAGAACTGGCATTTTAGCATTCTCTCTCTCTCTCTCTCCTAGTCCTCTTCTTGCATTCATCGCCCCTTTTCCGACATGTTATTCTTATTGAATGTTTTGGCTTCCTTCGCTTGACTCTTACTTCTTGCTTTTTCATTCAATTTCGACCATTTTCTTTCTATCCCGCCTCAGTTTGAATTTTAAATTTCAAAACCCTAATTCTGAATGTGACCCGTGTCGTCTTCTGGAAGCCACCGCCTCAACTGTCGTGTTTTCTCGTACAGTTTGTCTGTTCATATTTCGTAATTAATGCGCGTCTCTTCATCTCTCCTTTTACCCTTGGCCATTGATCTAAACCTTCATCGAATGGCTCGAAATGCTCGACCTTCCAAATCCTTGTGCTGTCTCTTATAAATACCCTCCTTTTATGCCTTTTTTTTGTTTCCCACCTTTGTGAATTTGCGCTTTACTGCTCGTGTTTTCCTCTCGCTAATCTGTGTTCCCAGAGCTCTCATTCCTGTTGCGCTCCGCCTCTCAAGAGCCTAAACTCTCAAAATCTGCACACCATGTCTTCACTCGGTAAGTCTTTTCTCTTGCTTTTGTTTTTGCTTTAATTCTTGGTAGATTTTGGTTTGTTTCTTTGTCGTCATTCTATTTCCGCTCTCCCTGTAAAGCCCTTTCTCTCCTCGAGTCTTTTTCTTCAAAACCCTAAGTCCTCCATTTTTCTTCTTTGTTGCTTTTTTCTTTTAGATTCGCATTCTACTTTCACTTCTGAAGCTGCCTCCGTTAGCCGCGACATGTCTCCGGGGAGTTCTGCACCCGTTAGCCATCTGTCTCTCTTGTTCCACCTTCCTCCATCCCGATTTTTTGCCCTCTTCCTCTTGTCAGTAATCCCCCTAGCTCTTCTCGCCCTCATCCCTCGCCTCGACCTCCGAGGCAGCTCCATCGAGGCACCATCTTCACGGATTCACGGTTCCTCTGAGGATGAGGAAGAAGAAGAAGAAGTCGTGCCTATTCGCTCTATTATGCTTCAACCTTCTTCATTTCGACCTCCTTCTCCACGTCGTGAGGCCGATCCTGTAGAGGACAAGCTAGCTTATGGGATAGAGGTTAATCGTCAGCCAAGACAATTTTTCCATCTCGACGTCAACAACCCTCGAGTGTGACTTTTCGGGATCCCTTGAAATTGGAGGTATGTTGCCCCCGATGCTTTTGACATCCACGAGCTCTCGTCCGCAGGTCGCTATACATTTTTCGAGGACCAAGTCAAAGTGGGTCTCCAGTTCCCTTTGAGCGAGGTCTTGCTCTCGAGCTTTGTGCCCTTTATGACGTCCCCATTAATCAACTTCCTCCTAACTCCATGCACACACTTATCTAATTCGCCATTCTTTCTCGTTCGTGACTGCGTGAGATCGATCCCAATCTTTTCCGTTATTGATTTGTGGCCAAGTTCCAAGGCAGGGGTATCTCTCTGGCCTCTTGTCATGGTGCCAACTTAATTTCTGATTAGCCCAGTAATGTCCCCAACTAGAAAAAGAGATTTTTCTTCCTTCAACCTTCTGCTCATCTACCTTTCTCTCCCAAGCCTTGGCTAGTCAAAGCTCATATCACCTATGACCCGCCAGCCCGCAACTCCACTTATGACCTCAAGATTTTTACATGGGGTCAGTTGAAGGTTATTTCCACCCTGTTGCTCAAAGATGAGCAGCTTCTTTACCATTGTGGTTTTTCGACCAAGGTGGATAATTTGTTGTTCGATGAGGAACTCGATAAAATCAAGTAGTGTGCTTTATTTTCTGTTCTTTTTTTTACTATGGATTAATAATACTGTTTTCTTCATCACGAAAGACGTCTCGAGATGGCCAAGGGCTCCGTCCCCACCGCCAGCACCAAAAAGGGTCAAGAGACCTCTAAAAAGCAAAAGGGTCCTCAGGCCATGAGGATTCGTCAGGCTGTCAACCCCTCTATTGACAAAAAGAAAGAAAAAGAGGTTGTGGAGATCGATGAAGGTGTCAACCCCTCAGTTGACAAAAAGAAAGAAAAAGAGGATATGGAAAAGCAAAAGAGGTTGTCAAACCCTCTGTTGAAAAAAAAGCAATTTGTCGGGCCGAACGTAGTGTTGAGTCCAGCAAGCAGCAACCCCCAGATTCGACCAACGAGAAGGACAAGTTAGTCGAATATGAGCCTCTGATAAGAAAATTCATATCAACGAGGACATTCTCGTCGTGTCTTCTCGTTCCATTGCCACCGCGACCAAGGCCATGACCATCACGTTGTACTTGGCCAATGCTCTACCTTCGGCCGACACTGGTCGATGGGGTAGTGATAGGAAGAGGTGGGCTGAGGATGTAAGTCGCAATCTTGGGCAGGTGCCATTTGAATGTTCTTTTTCTCTTTTTCTCGCGTCTTGATCTTAGCTATCGCCTCATTGTTGTGTTGTCCGTTTTTTTTCTAAGTCTTGGCAGGTCTTGTGCCGATGCTCAATGAAGATCTGGCCGAGCAGAACGAGCTCCACAAGGAGATAGCCCAGCACAAGGAGGAGATTCGCCTTCTAAATCAACACTCCAGCCATGGTGATTCCAACAAGCGACCACCCAGCCCGAAGGCCTTAATCATGGTGGATTTTGGCCTCCGCGAACTTCGAGCTCATCCGACACTTGCCCAACCCAATACTAGGGTCGTTCAAACAAGCGACCACCTAACCCGAAAGCCTTAATTATGGTGGGTCTTTGGATTCTGCAAGCTCTGAGCTCATCGAAACTTTCCCAACCCAACACTAGGGTCGTTCAAACAAGCAACCACCCAGCCCAAAGGCCTTAATCATTAATCATGATGAGTTTTTGCCTTCTGCGAACTTCGAGCTCATTCGACACTTGTCCAACCCAACACTAGGGTCATTCAAACAAGCGACCACCCAACCCGAAGGCCTTAATCATGGTGGATTTTTGGAGTCTGCGAGCTTTGAGCTCATCCGACAATTGCCCAACCCAACACTAGGGTCGTTCAAACAAGTAACCACCCAGCTCGAAGGCCTTAATCATGGTGGATTTTTGGATTCTGCGAGCTTCAAGCTCATCGGACACTTGCCCAACCCAACACTAGGGTCGTTCAAACAAGCGATCACCCAACACGAAGGCCTTAATCATGTTGGGTCTCTGGATTCTACGAGCTTCGAGCTCATCCGACAATTGTCCAACCCAACACTAGGGTCATTTATACAAGTGACCACCTAACTCGAAGGCCTTAATCATGATGGGTTTTGGAATTCTGCGAACTTCGAAGTCATCCGACACTTACCCAACCCAACACTAGGGTCGTTCAAACAAGCGACCACCCAATCCGAAGGCCTTAATCATGGTAAATTTTGTCCTTATTCCCTTGATGACCTGCCACTGAGGTCGATACCAATATAGGACAAAAATTGATAGGGTAATCATCCAACATTCTCATTAATGACATTTAACGTGATACTCCATTCATGTTGATTACAAAAGAAAAGTAAAGTAACTTCATGCATAGTACTTCTTCAAATTCAAAATATTCCATGACCTGGGTAAGGTTTTTCTATAAGCATCCTTCAGCGAGTATGCCCCTCTTGCGTGCACTCGTTCTACCACATACGGGTCTTCCCAGTTGCGTTCGAGCTTCCTCATGTGATTAAGTACATTCACCCGCTTCCACACCAGGTCTCGTACTTTGAATCTGCGTGTTTTCTGTTAGTCTTAAATATATACTGAAAGTTTGGCTTTCCATGTTATTACACATTTTTCCTTTATGAATGAGAATCATGTTAGACTAAACAAGTTCTAAGTTCTGTAGTTTTTCACTTAGATAGAGTGGGTCGTCATCGGGCGAACCGAAGATCATTCTATCGGTTACTTGCGAACAAGAATACTCGTTCACAACCTAGATAGACATGAACACCCCATCTGAATGGTTGTAGCGTCAATTGTACAGTTTTTCTTGACTGATTAGTTGCACTAGTACATTTATGTATTGAACAGGATCCCAGAGAGGAGAAGTTCATTTTATAATGATCGTCGTAAATGAACTAGGCCTCGATTAATTACTGCATTCTCTTAACCCGTAAGATATTAAACAGGCATATATATTTAGTATATATTACTTCGATTCACTTGGGTGAGGTTCAGTTCGCTGCATCAATAGTCCTACTGTTTTGAGTAATATTGCTATATGTAGTATGTGTTGTTAGGATATTTACGGTCACCATGTGCGTTAGTTTGATGATGTCTCTGGAGTGAGTTCATGAAGGATTATTATGCTAAACCCTGTAGGTGGATCAAATTCAGGCATAGTAAGAATGTGATGAACGAGCGCTAGCTTCGGTGAAATAATAATAAATTAATTAATTCTTGATTGTCAGTAATCAAATTAATTAATGGACATTATATCTTAAACGTGGGGAGGTAAATCGAGTAATTATAATTGGAGTCTCGAATGTAATTTGGGCTAGGAAAAGTGAGTGCAATAATATTTATGTTGGTGGCCCATAATATTATTTAATTAGTTAGAGGAGTGAGTTTGGCCCACAGTTAGTCTAATTAATTAAGGAGCCCTATTCATAATCTCCTAAGTGTCTCTACTGTAGCTCTATATATACATCATTAAGCTCATGAGAA